AGTAAGCATTTGATTCTGCAATATGTCCTGATAAACAGTTTGATCCATTATTCCATTAATTCTTGGACCAATTCCCTTTTCAGAGAAACATCCCCATACCATTATGCAGCCACCACCATGCTTTATTATAGGAACTATGTATTTTGGGTCATATCTCATGTTCACTGGTCATCTGACATATTGTTTACTTGGTCATCTGACATATCGTTTACTATCACTAGAGAAGACACTGAATTTAGATTCATCACTCCATAACACCTTGGACCATTTTTTGTTTGGTCCAAGTGATGTGTTCATATGCAAACTCTAATCTGAACTTGTTTTTTGTACAGATGAGTGGTTTCTTTGCTGGTCATCTCCCATGTAATCCAAAATTAGTCAAACATCTTCATACAGTCCTTAAGCTTAAATCTGGATTACCCACTTCATGTCAAATGTGAAGCAGTCAAACAAGGGTTGGCTGCACTTGTATGCCTGATCAAACAATCCAACTATGATGGTTTTTTGTGGTCTACCTGACTTTTTGGCAGAAACAATGGTCCCATATATTTGAAAACACTTCACCACTTTCGCAACAATAGTTTTATGAATATTAAAGATTTTACCAATTTTAGTAAAGGTCTTTTTTTTCTTCAAATGCATATCTACCATTCTTTATTTGATATCATTTGACAATTGTATTCCTCCAGACAACTTAGTTGATTCAATGGAACGTTGATCAGAAGCTCTGGTTAGGCCACAAAATACTAATATTTTGTTCTAAAAATACTGGAAAAATCTGCATACTTCCTTTACTGCTCTACTTTTGTCACAGTGTAAAATATAAAAATTTGTTTTTACTTTTGTAAATCAGACTTAAAATAAAATCTGTTTGAGATAATTGAGTATTTTGACTCATTTTTTTTTTGGTGCTCTTTTCCACTATACAGATATTTTTATTGATAATATACCAAAGGTTTTCCACTATCACAATATTAATTATGTAGTAGGTGGTAAACAAAATAGAGATCAACATTTTTAAAAAATATGTCAAGGATAGCTCTACTTTTGGCCACTACTGTATGTTGATTCCTAAGCACAAAAACTGTGGGATTTACCAGGGCTGTGAAGTCATAGCTGAGAGCAATTCTTGAGTAACTGGAGTTGGAGTCAATAGAATGGACCAACTCTAAACCATAACAGGTTATGGCTCTAAGTAGTAGTCTGATGATTCACACTGACCATGATGAAATGCCTTGTATGTTGCATGCAATCAATATAAAAAGTATATAATTAGTATATTTATTATTTATATTCTATATTGATATATAAATAAACAAAAATCAAGAGTGGCCATAAACTGAGAAATCAAAGTTGGAGTCAGAGTTACAGCATTTGTGAAAAAATTCAGCTCTAGGACTTACAATCATCTCTCATAATAGTTAATTTACTTCACTTTGAGAAAGTAAATTTAAATGAGACTGTTTTCTGAACACTTTTTTTTTACCATCCTGGTAGAAATAATTACAGATGTGTGTGTGGTTTGTTATATGGTAACAAAGCCACTAAAAAATAAATAATCAATTGTGCTTTCTTAAGCTGCAAAAAATTGTAGAATGAAAAAAATCAACACCAACAATTACAATTACTTCATTCAACTCTATATAAGATAAAAGTAAATCAGCAAGACTTCAGACTAAAATAAAATGCTATATCTACTATATATATAATACTTAGCTTAAAATCATTGTTTTTCTCATGAGAGGAGAGGAAGAGTTATAAAACAGAAATAGAAGCACCAGTAATTGTCATAAAAGTTTTGAACAAGTGAGCTAAGTGAAGGGAGTGGTCTGAGGAGAGAGTAAAGTGAGGGGTTAGTTCACTTACAGGAGATAGAGAGAAGAAAGTAAGTGGAGGTTGGTCCATGGGGAGGTGTCCCTTGTGGGGAATGAATTATCACAAAATTTTATGAACAGTCCTTATTGGAAACATGGGCCTAGTGAACAAAACAAACCACATAATAGGAATGTTTTTCTGTTGGACATAAAAAAAAAACATGATGTTCAACTGTGAAAAAAAAATTTATTTGTTCTGGAATCTGAAAGTTGTTCTACGTTCAATTTTGATGGAGAAAATATGAACGGAAAGTTTGTTTGATTTGAATAAAAACTATTTTTTTTCCAATGTGTGTGGAGGTACATTTCAAAACAGATCCAAATTTAATTTACATTATAAAAAGCAAGAATTACATATAAGATGAAGGTATACATATTGAAATTCTTATTCGGAATAGTCAATATTGGAACAAGTGGGCTAAGAGAGCAGAAATTGGGCCATCGTAGGCAGCCAGGACACCCCTTAGTAAGAATATATATAATTTTCTGTAATACTGAAAATTGGATACATTCATATATTATTTTTTCAATACTAGTCCACAAACTATAGCAACCGATACACCAGTAACTAAGAGACATGTCAAAAGAGTACTAACTAGAATTTTCAATAGATGATAATTAAAAACAACGGCAAGATTCTAGGACAAATGTAGCAAAATTTTGTTCCCCCCAAATTGTAGAGCCCCCCTGTGCAAGCATAAAAGTCAAAAGGACCATGCCTGTACAGGCGACCCTAAGCGAGATATAGCCCTCCAAAGATGCGCCTACATCACATCCGGTCACGTGACTCCGCGCCCAAAAGGGACGGCGTCACGTGGGCGAAATTTTTTTTTTTGTTTTCCCCATCTCAGTGTTGAAAAAAAATCATCAGCTCTCCCTTCCTTAGCCCCCAGCGCACGTCTCCCCCTGGCACGCGCCCGGCGCCCCGAGTATCCCACCTGCAGCCTTCTGGAGTCGCCATCTGTTGCCTGTAAATACAAATATCTATTTTATTACACCTCTTACCTCAGCCGGGGATCGAACCCCGATCCCGGCAGGCGCCGATCCACTTCTCTCCTCACCGGCCCGCCAGGTTGCTCTGCCAGAAACACTTCGGAACTCATACTTGAGCCGTGCTAGGCCGAGGAGCTCACTGCGCATGACGGGCCCTCCGGGTGGCCCCCCTCGGCCACACAGATTAAGCGCGCCACGCCACGCGGCCACCTCCCGCCGTTCAGGTGCAGCGGGCCCGTCACGCAGCCAATGGCCGGGCGTTCGTGGGTCACTTGACCTACTCCCAGCCCACCGAGATTTCATAAGCCTTCAGGCCGCCTTCGGGCATTTTCGGCCGGTGTTTGTTACCGCATTAGTTAGGAGTACAAGTCAGTAAATATTCAACAGTTGTGATATTCCAGTAAATATTTGATATTTGGATACTTATGGGTTAAGAGGAGGCCAGTTCAGTGGGGACGCACTTTCTAACCTAACCTAACCTATTCTAATAAATTAACATAATTATTACCAATTAATTACCGAAGGATACTTGTACCCGAACCCTGGATTATATGCGATTGTTCGAATAACATCGGGCGATCCCATCTTCGTCGTCGTCGACCTCCTGGACATAGCCGAGGAGGAGGAAGCGGCAGCGGTGACCGGCGGTCTTACCCCGGCTTCTCCTAAACAAGATCAGAAACGGGCCAGTCGTCGTCGGGTAGCGAGAAAAGGAGACTCTGCCGAAGGTGAGTGTATAATCTGTTTTGTTGGCTTTTTCCGTCGTCAGTTACAATGTGTTAGAGATAGGGAAATAGAAGTGCACTCAGTACAGAGCGGCAGCGGCAAAGAATTAGCGGCATTTTTGGGGGCCTATATCTCGTGAAGGGTCGCCCGTACGGGCATGGTTCCTTTGACTTTTTTGTTCCTATTGATATGCTCTACTGCTCTGTCAAAGTCCCAATTTGCTACATTTGTCCTAGAATTGTGCCAAAACAACTATATTTAACGATTCATATAACACACATTTCTCTCTAAAAAATCAAAATTTTAATTTCTATAGAACATTCAATACTACTGAGCACTCATTAAATAATAGATAAATAAAATAACATTTGAATTATTTTTTAATCATGTCCACATTTAAACATCCCTGATAGTAAAAAAGTTACACTTCATGCTTGACTAATATTACAAGAGAGCATTTTATAAAACGAAATACAGTAGAGAATCAATTATCAGGTACAATTTGGGACCGGGGTCGTTCGAATAACCAATCATTTACGATCAAAAAAATATATTAAACACAAAATTGTACTGTATATATTTTGTATCACACTTCTTACAAATACATACCTTATGTAATGTAGTACATTACAGTAGGCCTACAGTTTAGGTTGTCAGGGAGGGGGGAGTGCTGCAGCACCATGGCACTAGCAAAAATTTGAATTTGCCAACCAGAAAGCTTTCGGTTAACCAACATTTCAGTTATTACAACCGTATTACAAAAAATCTGAATTTCATATCACACGATAAAAGTCATTTGTCATTTTGCATTCAATTTTTTCTGCATAATAAACAGTTCAATTGCATCAAGAAAATTACCAATCCACTCATTATTTCCATTCTTATTATTCAATTTTTAATTTCATTAACCATAATTATAATTATTTCCATCATTTTTTTGTGTTTGGGATGGTTATTTTTATCCATAACTTTGTATTTTGTTATGTGATTCCTCATTGTAACTTTTAACAATCACAAAACTCCGCTGTAAGCACCTAAATGAATATAAAGGAGTTGTGTCTGTTGCTATTTTAAATCTGTATTTCGTTGTGTGCAATTACAATAGGAAACGGCTTCAATACGTCAAACTTACGTGTGCAGATAGAAACCAATCGAAATCTATTAGCGAATATAACAGAACGAGCAATTAAATATAGAAAACAAGAGAGGAAAAGCAAGAATGAAATGGCGGAATCTCACGTCAATGGCGGGATTACTTTACCAATGCCAATTTAATACTTAACACGTGCGTATCACCAATTTAAATAGCTATTTATTCAAATTAAACCATATATTATTATTTTATCAAAAGTAATACGTTAAATTTATTATCTTAAAGAAACTAAACAATATCTGTTATGTACTTACATGTGGACTCTCCGGGCGCAGAACGGAAAGCGACAACTACGCAAGCGCCCCACGAATAAGTGTTGCCAGTTTGATTCTTGTTTTAAAAAAAAAATTAATAATAATATAATTTTTTAATTTCTTAAATATTTTAAATCAATAAAATTTTAAACATTAAGTAAATGCACATATTTTTTTATTTACTGAAATAAATAAGTAGATATAAAATCAATAAAATCATATAATTCTAAGAACAATTTAACAATTAATAATGTATATGAATACATTTTTCAGACGCTATTGATTCGGCGTTATCTCATCAGTGCGATGATGTTTTATATAATATTTTTTTATGATCCAAATAATATAATTTTAAATTTTATAAACCGAAATGCTTGTAAAATCAGTTTGCGTGTTAATTATATTTTAATTTCCATTATACAGTTAATTGTTTTTTTTAATTATAATCTTACTGCGGTAATCGATTCGCTGCTAGAATTCCTACAGTTCTGCGGTAATCATTGCAGCGTAAAATTTTTACCGAGTACAATCGATCTCATTGCAGATTTATAAAAATTTAGTATAACTACAGTATTTATATATTTATAATTCAAGTTACCGGTACATATTAACTATATGAAAATTTCCTTTACGCATTAAGGAACTGAATAATAATTGTGATTAAAGTTGCTTTAAGAATTGTTCAAAGTTTATATGATAATTTTACAATGTATTTTTATTTTTTTATATATCATGCTTATTTTTTATTGTAGTTCTATACAAAAAAAAATGACCGGATGGCCGAGCGGTTAAAGTGTCAGTCTGGGGACTAATCCGGGTGGATCTAGAACCCCAGGAATTTTTGGGTGATGGTCTATCCCTGATATGATGGGTCTCGTCACTTACTGCCCAGCTGCCCTATTGTGGGCCTGCTGAACCTACGATGGGCTTGCTATAAAAGGCCTTCTTAGTGCCTACAGAGCAGGAAAAGTTTAAAAACGTAAGGTGAGGAAATATTGAATCTTTAAAAGGTTTTGTTTTCCTTTTATGTAATAATTTACTATATACGTAGTATAATACAATAATAGTTTCATTTAATTTAGTTAATTTAATTAAATAGTTTTAATTGATGCTGTAGCGGTGCCCGCAGACTATAAAAAAGAGGGCACATGGTGTAAGGGGCATCGTACATTATGCAAGAAGCTTCGAACTGATTCTATGTCGAATCAGCGCTTCCGCAAAGTGGCGCTGGTTGCAATCCAGGCGAAGTTTTGGTCAACATGCCACGAAGCTACATGTGTCAATGAACAAATATCGTTCGTTAGTTTTTTTATATTCGCAGAATATTCTAGAAGTCGTGATTTTCTGTTGTATTTTGATAATGGAATTTGAGGCCCCATCCTGGGGAGTAGGAAAAAAGCAACCCAAACGAAAAAGAGACACGTACCCCAATGTACTGGCGCCCCTGCGATGCTGGCACGAAATAAATTTCGAGAAATTCTAAACACTACTTAGCTTGCCTTATAAATGGAAATATAATGATGATATTTTTTATGCCAAAGTTAAATTTCTCTAAATCTTAGAGCAACCAGATATGACGATTGTGGACACGATATCATAGGTACAGTATAACAAATTACGAGGTATATATATATATTTTTTAAATAGCGTTATATGTTACTATATCATTGGATGAAAGTATAGAAGCTATGCAATAGTACACCATTTGTCGCTGTTACATAGTTTAATTTAAAAAATAATTATCTATATCTATAATCTAGACGGGTTGATAATAACAATCAGCGCAGAGCCCAAACGGTTAGGAGTTGAAAGTTGAAATTTGGTACACAGTTAGGGTACGTCACGAGAACGTACACCAAGAAGGGATTTTTCGAAATTCCCCTCCCCCGGAGGGGAGAGAGACAAGGTTAAGGCTTCAACAATGGAAGTGTTAAGAGAAAGCAACGTGCAAGATTTACAGGTGTGCAGATGCGGTTTTCTGCGTTTTTGCGGGAAATCGAACATATTTTTAGACCCATCTAAAAATTTTTTAATTAGTCTGGAAACAGGGGAACCTAATTCTTGCATTCTGTGAAAACGGGTAAGATTGGCTGTAATGTAATAACATTACATTACAGCCAATCTTAATAATCTTATATCTTAATAATCTTAATCTTCGCTATCATTACTTTTTGCCCAAACAACGCCGGGCTTATCTGCTAGTACATATAAATGAGGATGTTTGTTTGTTTGTTCGCTATACAGGCCTAGGCTGTCGGACAAATTGTACGAAACTCGGAAGTTACGTTCACATACCTCTAACTTAGATAATAATGTCTTACATCTCAACCTAAATTATTGATTGGATTTCTACCAAGTACAGTGGTGCCTCGTATAACGTACGTCTCGAATAGCGGACGCTGCGAATAACGGACTTTCTGTTTGACCGTTACGTGACTCGAGCAACGGACTTGCTGCGAACAACGGACTTTCCGACGAACAATGGACTTTTTTCGAACAAGTGCGAATGATGTTTCCACTCTTTTGCCGTTGCCAATGACAATCTGCTATTTTTAGGATATATTAGTATTATTAGAATGTATTATTAGTATATCTGAAGTAGAAATGTAATGTAATATATGTTGATGATTTAAATAAACATTAAATGTAATGTAATATATGTTGACGATTCAAATAAACGAAATGTAATTGTGTAGATGCCGAGGTGGCGGGACGAAAAGAGGTTGTAAAAAACGGAGCGAGAGTAGCTCGTAGAAGTGTTTAGTGCTCTTAATTAATAAAGAATTATTCGTATCATATAATATGGCAAGTTAAGTCATTTATAATGCATCATGGCTTCTAAAAAAACAGAAAGGTGATTTCAATTGAAACGAAGCAAGAAATCATCAGGAGTGAAAGTTGACAAAACCTTTCTTGTCGAATGGGGAGAGGTTCAGGAGTTTACCAACACTCATTATCCAAACAGAGCTGAGGCCAACAGGATCAATGATCTCTACGATGACACCTTTGTCCGTCATTTCCGACAGGTGTTAAAGAAGAAAGAGAAACAGACCACCTTGGTCATGTTTTTCAAGAAGCCAGCGGGCAAAAAACAAAGGATGGAACAAGAGAAGTTGACCCTGCAAGTTCCGGTAGCCTCTCCTGAATCTGACTCCGATTAAAAAACAATAAAAAAAGACCCGCTGCAATGTGTAAAAAGTCTGAATCTGTATGAATGTGTAAAGAAAGTGTTCTTCCACCTCCTCCTCACAACATCTGACTACCCGGCATAATTGGTGTCTGCTCCATTTTCATTTTTTATGGTACAGTACGGTTATTTTATGCTGCGGAACGAATTATATGTTTTAACATGTATTTCTATGGGAAAATGCGTTTCGTATAACGGACGTTTCACTTAACGGACGTGCACCTGGAACGGATTAAGTACGTTGTACGAGGCACCACTGTATATACCAATTAATTTCCGTCTACATTCATCTGCGTTACTTGAAGCGTCATCTATTGGCAAAACATTTAAGAAAATAGTAAATTAAATATAATTCTTACAAAAAATGATATAATTTTTTAAAATATATAGTATATTCAGTTAATTACTGAGAAAATGATATAGCGTAAAATAGGCGCTCCATTACGCCTTTACTGAGACAGATAGCACAAAGCACTTGCACTGCATGGAGTGTTTTGTCCCTGTACTTCATACCTTTCTTGGAAGCAGATTAAAGACGACAGTGGGAATTTATATGGAATTTATAATTTATTTCAAATTGCAGCCCAATAAATACCCTCCAGTAACCGAATGAATAAAACCACCCAACACCGGTAGTCGATCGTCACAACGGACTGATCACGTGCAGTTTTCTGCGTTTTCTTCACGTTAGTAACAGCTAAATAATGTCAGCTTTACATAAAAGTCTTTCCGGGATACATCCTCCTCGACAGATCGCTCACGTAACCAAATAAATCAAACTACTGTAATTCTAATAGTTTTTCTATAAATGCGATATTTACGAGGACGTGCTTAACTACTACGAAACTTGGATACCTGCTCCTCCCCTTGATTTTATCTCCCCTTATTAACTCATAAGCCCATTACCCCAAACTTCCTTCACCGATACTGCTGAAGGATGTTCTACCGTTTAGCCAAATTAATGTACATGCAATGATTTTAAGGCACAAAGTAGAACTCGAAGTCTTTTTCTGTACCGATATTTATTTTTCCTATTTATTATATGGTGACATTGCTTCATCCAAAACTTCCTGTAGTTATTGTCCTGTGAAATGTTCACTTTATTCACACGTTGAGTCTTATAGTAGATTCAGTCTTATGTAGTAGTCGTTGACTGTCCTCTGTTCCGGGAGGAGGTCAACGTCTACTTTTGGTGGAATTACTTCAACCCCCTTCCGCAACAATCCCTTCGTTCTATCGGACCAGAGGAATGGTGGCATTCGAATAGGAAAATTGCATAATACAAGATTACCGGCGAGCACAAAATACTTTTTAAGTGATTTTAGAGGGTGCCGAGTTGAAATATTTGGTCTACTATAGTATTACACAAATACTATAATACTGTATAACATTATAGTATTTTATTTAAATAACTACAAAGATTTACGTAAGGGTTTATCATATCGAGTGACTAATCTAAGACATTTTAAATTAAAATTTCTTTATTCCTCTACAATACACAGTTTAAAGAAATTTTAAAATATGTTCACTTGGCGTGATTAATCTTTACGTAAGATAATGTTTGTAGTTATATAAATCAAATAGGGGAAGGTGGTGCAAGATGGGGCCATGGGGTAAGACGGGGACGTCTGTTTATTCGTGCTTAACGCGCTTTCATCTAGCTGTTATTTGGGGAAATAAATGTCAACCTCAAAAAGGATCACGGGACGAGAGAACGTCCGAATCATTCTCTTTGTTTGGAATTAAGACAGTTTTCCACGTTTCGGCAATACTTCATCTAATTTTATGCTTGCTACAAAGTTTCTACAAAGTAAGCATCATTGTAAACTTTTACATTACCTTTTAGATGAAAATATTATGGTATTCGAAGTAACCTTTAAGACTGAAATTGTTTAGTTTTGAAATAAAGTTGACCCGTGTTCAGGGCCGGATCATCGCATAGACAAATAAGACAAATGTCTAGGGCCCTGTTTTTAGAAGGGACCGGTCAAACTCTATTTTGAAAAGATTTGTAAAAATAAGATAGTTTACTTTTCTGTTGGACAACGGTATAATACTGGTAAAACTGGTATAATATTATATTATTTAAATATTAACCAAAAAGGTTAAATTAAACAAGTAAAACGGCAAAACCGTATTTGGGACACGACTATGTCTTGGAGACAGTACTAAACGGAATCACTTTGACGCTCAAAGCGGATCTCGTTCTGATTCTCCAATCTTTGGCATCGCTGCTTTTGGGCGCGATCGTTCAAACTTCGCCGGCCACGACCACGAAGTCGTCCACGATACATTTTCAGTGAAATTAACCTATCCAATTTCGAAATTTCTCTCCGTTGCAACCCGTCGGTTTTGTCGATGCTTAACGAAAATTTCCCGTTGAAATAAATAATCGTGGCTATCGTATCGTCCGAAATTATTTTTTTTTATTTTGCACAAACAGCATACAGTTTAACTCGATTATAACGTCATCGGATGTAACGACAATCCTAATATAACGTCAAATTTTTATCGGTCCCACGATTTTACTATACTGTACTAGATAATGTTAAAAGAAACCTACTTGTAACGACATAAAACCCTGTTTTAATGTCATATTTGAAGCACTTCCAAATTTACAAAATTAGATTGCAAATTTTATTTAACAAAGAAAATACTACGTGTTCAGTCCTAGGGTCAGAGTTCACTTCCTAGAACGACTGTGGGCGGTACTCTCACCACCTGACTTCGGTTTGCCTGTTTGTACAGAGAGTCGCCATTTTGTATTTTACTTTGACTCGGTTCTCGGTCCCCCGAGTACCTACAAGTCTGGTTTGTTTTTTTATGCGCACATGATTTGGGCACTTAATACTCTGTGCCAAATTGCAACTCCTGACATCTACTGTACTCCTTCATACCTCTAAGCTGGTAACACAGCAGGCAGTACGGTTTTATAAACAAGACATAGTCTTGTTGACAATTAATATTTTAAGGTAATATTGTTATTGTATAACAACTTTTGTTAGACATTTGATAAAATAAATTTCAATTTTTTAAATTTATAAACAAACTGTTCAAACTTTTCTAGAAGAACTAAAAATTATTGTTGTGTATTAAATATTTTTTATTAATAAAAATTTAAGATTTGTTTTAGTTTTTTTATATTATTTAGTTTTTTTTATTTATTGTTTTATATTTTCTGTGTGCTTTATTTCTTGTGAGAGAGGGAGGGGGCCCGGTAAGAAGAAAATGTCTAGAGCCCCAAAGTGGGTTAATCCGGCCCTGCCCGTGTTTACAGTCAGTATGAAAAGTGCACATTGGGGCAAGATGGCCATGAATTCTGCCGCTAGAGGCACTGCAATACCGTGTGGTGCAGCAAACTAGTTTTAAATTCATTGTCATTGATAATTCTATATAATTTTTTCGAATATATAAAATAATAAGTTTAAAAATGATATTTTTATAAAAAATGAAATATTCTACTTTTAAATCATATCTAACTGTAATAAATTTATACAGTATATACTGTATTATTTTATTATTTATGTTTTTACGTTTTACTTTATTTGTGAAAACATTTTTTAATTTAAATACTATCTTAACAAGAAATAAAATGTGAGATAACAATCAAAATAAAAAATTTTTTCCACGGAAGAAAATATCGTCTGCTTACAAAATAGCGAAACTGAGCATGCGCGAAGTGAGAGTATCGTCTGTTAAAGTAAATACGAGTAAGTTCAAACTTTTATATTTATTTATTCGGAAAATAATAATAAATGTAGCCGCTGTAATAAATGGGCACATCGTTCTTGTGCCAATATCGAAGTAAACGACAGTTTACTTCGATATTGGCCCATTTTAATTTGTTTTTCTTGTATATAAAAATAATATTCCCATCTTACTCCACGGGTGGGGCAAGATGGCGCATTTGCGTATAATTTTAAAATGTTCAATTTTCTTGTTTTTAAAAACGTTTTTCAAAAATTAAATCTCGTATTATATATTACCAAATGTTGTAGTTGCTGAGAATAAAAAATTATTGTTCTTATTAAAGTGGTTGCCATCTTATGACTTTTCAAACCTTAACGTCCTCATCCTGCACCACCTTCCCCTATTATAATATCAATATAATATAATAGAAAGGTTAGCAGTACGAAATAAGCTAATAATCTTAATGTTTGTTCTTATATATAGACTGTTATATTATAATAGTCTATATAACAAGTTTATATCTTTACAAAAACCCTGCAGGATTTTGTCTCGAGTCAGAATTCAGAAAAGAAGCGATACTTTAAATCTTCCTAGATCGAAATATTGCTTATTATTCTGATGAACTAAATAAATATGATAAAGTTTATTAGAAATTGTAAATTCTTATATCTTCAATCTATATGAATAAGATTTTAAAATTTTTTGTTTTAAATAGAGAAAGATTGAGAGAAATAAAAAAATTTAATAATCAGTTAAATCATACATTAATTAAATTATATAATGATCAAAATAATTAATCACAAATAAATCAGAAATAATAATTAAATATTAATACGATAGAGGTAATAAAATGAATATAATTTTGTGTTCGTTTTTTGAGAATTTATATAATATTATTTGCATTAAAGTTTTTTGGTTTCTTGACAAGTACAAAATAATGCAACTTATCAAATCTCCAAGATTCTTCAGAGTTTGAATATTCTCTAGAAATCCTCTTTTGAAATGAGTCCAAGAGATTTCTGTGTCCTAATTTAAAAGTAATCAGACCTTTTTCCAAATCGTTCGATACAACTTTATTAGAATGAGAATATTCCTCAAACATTTCTAAATTTGCGAGATCATTTTTCACATTAGAAGGATTATCACGAAACATTTTGTTGGTGACATCCATAGGTTCAATCGGTAAATTCTGTTTGACAAAGTATTTCGTGACGTTTTCGGATTCCATTTCAGTGTTTCTGATTTGTAACTTCTCCATTTGGAAGGACTTATTTTTCGTCCACATACAAGAGTCGCTTCTTTCAGCTTTGCTTTCGACTCCATCTTTCTTTTCTGCACATTCTTCAATTTTTATGGTGAAAGATGATTGTGGATCATCTTCACTTTGGAAGAATTTCTGACGCTCTTTTAACTGGTCTATAGCCAGAACAAGTAATTCGTCACTTTTTTCAGACATAGTTACTTCATTTAATTTTAAATACTCTTGTTCATTAATTACCACTTCGTCTAGATTTTGAAGCAGTTGATAGTCACCTAATTTGTCTGCCTTCAATTTTATCATCTCTTTTTTAAAAAAAGCTCTAAGAATAATAAAGTTAAACTTCTCTGCACACAAAAAGTAGTAGCAGAGGAACATTAAAATGACGACAAATATCCAAACTAACATCAGTATAAATACACTTAAATATGGGTTAATTCTTTCAATATATTTTCTATCTTGAACAGTTTTATCAGACTTCGGGTGTCTTCTATTATTACGAGATAACGAGGCAATAGAATTTAACGTCTCTTCCTCATTTTTTACGTCCATAAATTTCTTCCAATTTTGAATCCAATTAAATGGTATTGATGACGATGGAAATGTTGCAGTTTTATCGACATCATCTCCCGAATATTCAATTTTCCTTTTGGGATATGATTCTATCATCCAGGAATGAGTTCTTTCCTGTAATTGAAAGAAAAATAATGTTGATTTATTTTATTTAAATTTAGATAATTTAACATTAATATATAATTAGCAAACACAATATTAGAAATACAGGCCTATTTATTCGAATGCCATAATTGTTTTTCATACAAACCTCGACATTTTTCTTCGTGAAATTCAACAATTTCGGTTTCAATGTCGAATAAATGTAATTTCTTCCAACTAGAGGTTCAATTTTGTCATCTTTAAATATATTCAAAAGTAAAGTCATATTGACTTCTGAATGAATCATCTTACGAGGATGATTTCTCTCAAATCCACGTCCTCCACTCAGCAAGCAAAAAACAATAATCATCTTCAGATAAATCTGAATCATCTTTATCCTAAATCAAAAGAAATTAATTTAGATCATATGACATAATTTATTGCTATTTAAATATTTATACATAAAAAACTATTATAGTTTCTTATGAATAAAATTTCTATAGTTTTATTCCTAAACGTATAGCCAATCGACATGATTAATGGGCGATTCCATATTCTGATTCCTTCAATTCAATTCAATTTTCAATTCAATTCTTTTATTAAACACCCTGTAGGTGCATTCTCAGTACCGTTTAATACATAGCTGAGAGATATATGCACGTTATTTATCAAAATATATTTCGCAGATGAAGAANACCGGTAGTTTTTGCAGGATTAAATTTCAGCTTATGTTTAATTCCCCATTGATGAATCTTTGCAAGAGTATCATTTCCACGTTTTTCCAAAATTGCTCTAGACCGCCCGCCAATCATTATTAAAACATCATCCGCGTAAGCTGTTGTTGCATCTTGCCCAAAGTTTTCATCAAAAAAGGCATTGAATGTTAGATTCCATAATAACGGACCACAAACAGATCCTTGGGGGCATCCACAGACAATTTCTCTTTCTGTCGTGTGTCCACCGTATTCAAGAATGGATTCTGATTCCTTATAATTATTTAACTGTAACGAATACAAATACAATCCATATCGAAACAAAAAGAAATATAATACAACCCATATCATGTTTATATTAGCGGAGTGATTGCATCGCGCATCTGCTAGTTAAAAATTTAACAGTGAAACATTCAGTAATTAATACTTTAATGAAGATTAAAATACTTACAATATTCAATTTAAATTAATGCAATATCAATAAATCAAGAAAAATCGCTTTCCGTAACGCAGTTACTCGACTTCCAATAACGCAGAGCAACAATAAACTAACAATATTTCGTATTGCTCAGAAATACATTATTTAACAATAATGAAAAATCAAATATTGTTGACTTTATTTGTTCCTTTTTTTTAAATTTAAAAGTCTGATTTAATGGTTTATGAGGTGTACTATTTATTTTTCTTGAATAAACATTTTTGATAGTATATGAAATTGCAACTAACCACAGTGGCCGATTTTTTACTCTTTCCTCCCTATGGGCACTAAGCGGGCCTCTTTTAGCAAGCCCATTATGGGTTCGGCCAGGTGGTGAGGGACGGAGCTCGACATATCCGAACGAACCACCCCCCCGAAAAATTTCTGGGGATTATTGGAATTCGCCTGCCACCTTCACCGCTCAGCCGCTGTGGCTGTCAAAAGCCACAGCGGCTGATCAAGCACTTAAGTGCCCCAACTGCAATCTAGTTTTCAAGTCACCTTTGTTCTAAATACTAAATAATGATATAAAACAAATATACTGGTGTTGCTTAATAAAAAGATTCTGATTAATCAATCGTTTTTAATATTCAATGACATATTCTAATAATCTACTAAAACGCATTGAATTTTACTGTTTTGTATGGATCCTTTTGCTGTTAAGTCTAATAACCAGTGATCAAAATGAATAATGCTTGCTGTATATAGCATAAACAATAATATAATACACGAATACGTACTTGATAACGTTTCCTGTATAAAAAAATCGACACTGAAAACATTAATATGCCAAACGCAAACAGCTAAGAACAATGTATTCGTTTGCAGTTTGCAAGGGATCAACCGCGCTTATTTGGCAGGATAATAGATACTGTAAACGCGCATATAAGTTTAGATATTATTTATTACTTAAGATATTTTCTCACGATTGAAGAGGAAATATCTGTGCCTGAGGTTCGTAGAATATATCTCTCTGAAGCTGCTATCTTTAGGAGCCCCAAACGTGCACTTTTTGCGCCTGTGCCCACTGACAACCTTGAGAAACTGCGTGATTGAGAATGGCTTTAGTCTTAGTCCTTTGCCCTTTCAGAGGGCGTGGTGATATTATGAATTGACGGCTTTAATTGTATCACTCCACTTTTCATGGTCTTGTGCTATCTTGATGGCCTCATGTGTTGTATGTCCTGTAATCGCCATTACTTGGTCTGCCCACCTATTTCGACATCTACCTCTAGGGCGTTTGCCATTAATCTTCCTTTCTGGAATTTGTTTCTCAAATCCATTTTTGCATCTGGAAATATGTCCCAAAAAGCGAAGGTAGGATTGGTGGATTATAGTGATAAGGCATGTTGTGATCAGTTGATTTAGGATGGAGTAATTTGTTTAATGCTCCCTCCAAGAGATTCTTAGCATTATTCTATGTCCACATCTCAACGGAATCAAGTTTCCTCCGTGAAGTGTCATTTATGGTCCAGGTTTCTGCGGCATACGTGGCAATCGGAAAAATTAGCGTTCTTATAGAGTTCTCTCTTCTTCTTAGCGTTTTTTGAGCTTTAGTTTATTAAAGTTAGAAATTGCAGAATCATTCTAAATTCTATACAATTTAAAGGTTGAATTGCGAGCAAGGTAAATTCTGCGCTTAATTTCATTATCACATCCTCTTTTCGTGAGAAGTGAACAAATTCATTGACTATCTAGCCCGCGATTTCCTTAGCCTGTGTCAAGGAACGATCGATTATCATGACTTTCGTTTTATTTCTGTTAATTAGTAATCCATGGTCCCTGCTCACGGTTTCAAATCTTTCCGTAATATATTCAAGTTCTGATTCACTGGTTGCTATAATAAGAGTATCATCAGCATATCTCAGGTTGTTAACTTTTCGGCTCCCATTGGAAATGCCTCCGTCTTAGTCATCTAATACCTTTCTTATTATAATTTCAGAATAAGCATTAAAGAGTAAAGGGGAGAGAATACATCCNCTTGTCGTATAATCGTTGTATTTGGTTATTTGTATTCGTTTGTTTGAGATTTATTAAATTTACTCTTGTTTTATTTTATAAGAATGTCTCCTCAATTTATTTCGAATCAGATCGCAAACGCGTGTTAATCCGCGTAAAATAAGATTGATTAACTGGTGTCGGGAACCTGACGAACTTCTGAACCTCGCAGTTCGGATCTGATTTTATACGCTCTCCTATGTAAACTTTTTACGATCGGATCTTACGATTCGAAACTCGGGGAACTATTCTCACGGAATAGGCCGATTAAGTGGTACTAACGAATTAGTGTACCCCCGGCTAATCTCACACTCTTAACTCTTGCAGAGTTGTTCTCGTATAAATTTCTGATCATCGAGATACTCCCATTTTCTGAAGAGAAAGCCTTAATTTGTGCCATTTTACACAGTCAAAGACTTAGCATAATTTGTCGGACGTTCAAGATTTGTTCACGGATTCCTGGGAATAGCTATGGGAAGAAAATCTTTTCCCTACACTGTTAGTTTCCTACCCCTTCAATCCTGATCGATAGATTAGGAAATTTCCGAGCGTGATAATGCCGATCGTGTACCCGTGACATTCCCGATGTATAACTTTTATATGAAAATGTCGGAGGACTATAAGCCATTCAGAAGTTTTGGCCGCGTATAGAATCGAGAGGCAGGTATTTTAATCTTACTACCATAGATCCAGTGCACGAATTTCCTGAAACTCCACACCAATACTAAAGCTTCCTTCTCTATCGTCACTCAACAAAATTTACTTAATATTGACAATGCTCATTTACGATTAGCCAATAACAGCGTAACATATATAGCACCGCGATTAGCAGTTACTATATCAAGAATCATCTGAAGATAGCATAGGCGAGGTCCCAAGATATTGTATGGGGTCCAGAGACAGTATTAATGTGGATATAGATTCGTGTTATTTGAAAAGAGATGAAAGTATAATGAATGCAAATTATATCAATTAGATTTCAAGAAAAGAATTCGATTAATAATATTTTTATTGGATCGTGTTTGCAATCTCCAGCATTTAATTTCCACCTCGTAGAATCAATTTTGCTGTTTATAAAGAAAATTCAACAAAAATAATTGTAAGTGATTACAAATGTACTTGCATTTTTTCTCAGCAACGTTATGTTAAGTGAGGACTCGCTATAGGAAAAGATTACTGGAGTTATGTGTAATGAAAAGAAAAAAACGTTTAAGCAAAATCACTTCTAAAATAAATTCCTTTCATGAAAAGCAATGGAAGAAAGGAGAATGTTTTAAAACAACATCTTCAAAGATTAAATAAAGCAGAGAAGGTGAAAATCAAAATGGAATTTGGGAAAAGTTTGATTTCGGTTTCATTTGTATACAGCAACGTGGCGATGTGCCAAGAGGGAATGTTTCTCTAAGGTTCTTTATGGCCCCTATTTAGATGTTGCAAACGTGATGAAAACCCAGAAAACTCCACTGGCCAGCCCGCAAATCCACGACCAGTGGTCAGTAGCTTTATCCACTCGGCCATTGGTGACCATTTAGGAAAAGAAATGAAGAAACTAATTAAGAGAGAATCGGAAAATCTACTGTAGTTAATCTTAATATGACATTATTGTATGAAGTGATCTTTTTTATTTAAATTAAGTCTAGAAATTGGAGTAAAATGGTTGCCGAATTTCATAAACTTCCATTACAATGCTTTAAGTTAATAAATGTTAGTGTTAAAGAAAGAAAGAAATTCTAAATATTATCACGTTTCAAATCATAATATAACAATTTTTTAAATTGATATACATAAATACGTATTATTTCTCAAATAAATATGGGTTTATATGTAAGCATATATAAAATTCGTGTTTTTGTTGAACTGTACAAGTTAAATCAATAAATCTGTCACCGGAAGTTTAAATACTGAGAAGAGCTATCTACAATCTTGTGTTTTGATTCATCTTTAGAGGTAGATAAATCATAAAGTACGACATTCTTTATTTTATTTTAGTGTTTTTTCGAAGTTTACTTGTTTTATTAGGAAAAAAAACGATAGAATCCATTATTTACCAAGAGAGAAAAATGTCACATTGTCTTTCTAAGCGCACAATTTAAGATTTATGAGTTGTTTTTATAAAAGCAATTTGGGATATCATTTTATATTTGGATTATATATAATATAATATATTTTATTATTATATAAAATGAGTATATTACGTGATAATATATTGCCGTTTTCAATCTTTAGGTTTTTTCCCCTTAAAATTATCACTGTAATAAAATTTTATTGGACGTTTTTTTTAGCAATAAAAATAGGTATTTCATTTTTATAAGGATTTAATATTTAAAAAGTGTTTTTATCCCTCAGCATATTATTTCTATTGACAAATAATTGTATATCCGTATATCAAGACTTTGTCAGATGTACTGTCAAGTGGCAATAATAGCACGATACATTTTCTATCGTATCAGGTTATTTTCGCTCAATTTTTACTTTACTGACTTACTTTTACTCAGGGTGTCCATAAAGTCCGTGTGCAATTTTAAAAATTTATAACTTTATTGGTATTAGTGATAGAAAAATTCTGTAGAAAGTATTAGAAAGCTTAATGTACCTAGTTTTAGGTACAATTACAAAGCTTACAAAATTCAATTACATCAAGTGTTGTTAGAAGAAGACTATCATGCACGGCTTTCTGCCCTCAGTTAAATAAAGAACTTGGCAATGATGTTGCATTTTTGAGTAGTTTAATGTTCTCTGATGAAGCAACATTTCACATTAATGGCAAGGTCAACAGCCATAATTGCCGAATTTGGGGAACTGAAAACCCCAAATTCGGTATTTGGGGTTTTCAGTTTCCCAAATTCGGCAATTATGCTTGTTGACCAAAACTGTAATATTAATAATGGTGGGCACGTAAAAACTTAATAAAATACAATAAAACAATAAAAATTTATAGATATTCTTATTTCCAATACATTTTACATAATTTTTCTATTACAAATACTAATAAAGTTATAATTTTTTTAAAATTGCACACGGACTTTATGGACACCCTGTATATAAAAGAGAGAAAGTATGGCGATCGGTCAAAAATCGACCCTCTAAGATTTTTTATATTTTTGGATTCGGAGGACCTTGGAACGTCGAGGGTATGCAGGGTTTTTCATTAATACGGTCTGGTTAAGTCGAAATT